GATTAAATTAAATTCAGTGTTCAACCCTCTAGGTGAGACATCACTAAATGGCGGACCGTGGTCCGCAAACGGACCGCATGGCAATCCTATACGGACCGTGGCTGTAAACACTTAGCAGCCTGGATGTCCTCTGCAGCTGATATCCTACTACCCCCCCTCGCCAAGCTGCCACTGCCAATACTGCATTCATCTTTATAGAAGGCATAGCATGTCCAGCCAACAGCGGTAGCTATCCAACTTTTCAAGTTAACAAGCCGGTGATTGGTTGCTTGGCGTTCCTAGCAAGCAATCACTTGCCTGTTAACATGCAAAGCATGTCCCACATGTCCCGCCCTCTGTCCAGGCATGCCGTACCTTCTGCCTTCTACCTGCTGTGTAAGGTAGGATCGAAAAGGAGGGTTGTGAATGGCAGGGGGGGGAATATAAGGGAGGGGGCATTCATATAAAGGATACTTGGCTGCAAGAAAAGAAGGTGGGGGCTGTGAATAGGGAACAGTATACAAAAAGGAGGGTTTTACAGGGGACTAGGGGTGCAAGAGGGGACTGAGATGCAGGTAAGGGGTGTCTATAAAGGGTACAGGGGTGCAAGGAAAGGGGGCTGTGAAGTGGAGTACAAAGAAGGGGAGCTGTGAAGTAGACTGGAGTACAAGGAAGGGGGGATGTAAAGGGGACTGGGGTGCAAGGAAGGGAGGAACTGTGAAGGAGACAAATGTACAGTCATGGCCGAAATTGTTGGCACCCTTGATATTTCTCCAGGAAATCATGTATTTCTCACGAAACGTATTGCATTAACACATGTTTTGCTATACACATGTTTATTCCCTTTGTGTGTATTGGGACAAAACAAAAAAAAGGGAGGAAAGAAAGCAAATTCGACATAATGTCACACAAACCTCCAAAAATGGGCTGGACAAAAGTATTGGCACCCTTTCACAACTGCGGATAAATAAGAATGTTACAAGCATGTGATGCTCCTGTAAACTCACCTGGGGCAAGTAACAGGTGTGGGCAATATAGAAATCACACCTGAAAGCAGATAAAAAAAGGAGAGACGTTCACTTAACCTTTGCATTGTGTGTCTGTCTGTGCCACACTAAGCATGGACAACAGAAAGAGGAGACGAGAACTGTCTGAGGACCTGAGAACCAAAATTGTGGCAAAATATCAACAATCTCAAGGTTACAAGTCCATCTCCAGAGAACTAGATTTGCCTTTGTCCACAGTGCGCAACATTATCAAGAAGTTTGCAACCCATGGCACTGTAGCTAATCTCCCTGGTCGTGGACGGATGAGGAAAATTGATGAAAGATTGCAACGCAGAATAGTCCGGATGGTGGATAAGCAGCCCCAAACATGTTCCAAAGACATTCAAGCTGTCCTGCAGGCTCAGGGAGCATCAGTGTCAGCGCGAACTATCCGTCGACATTTAAATGAAATGAAACGCTATGGCAGGAGACCCAGGAGGACCCCACTGCTGACACAGAGACATAAAAAAGCAAGACTACAGTTTGCCAAAATGTACTTGAGTAAGCCAAAAGCCTTCTGGGAAAACGTCTTGTGGACAGATGAGACCAAGATAGAGCTTTTCGGTAAAGCACATCATTCTACTGTTTACCGAAAACGGAATGAGGCCTACAAAGAACAAAACACAGTACCTACGGTAAAATATGGTGGAGGTTCAATGATGTTTTGGGGTTGTTTTGCTGCCTCTGGCACTGGGTGCCTTGACTGTGTGCAAGGCATCATGAAATCTGAGGATTACCAAAGGATTTTGGGTCGCACTGTAGGGCCCAGTGTCAGAAAGCTGGGTTTGCGTCCAAGATCCTGGGTCTTCCAGCAGGACAATGACCCCAAACATACGTCAAAAAGCACTCAGAAATGGATGGCAAAGAAGCGCTGGAGAGTTCTGAAGTGGCCAGCAATGAGCCCAGATCTAAATCCCATTGAACACCTGTGGAGAGATCTTAAAATTGCTGTTGGGAAAAGGTTTTGTCCTTCCAATAAGAGAGACCTGGAGCTGTTTGCAAAGGAAGAGTGGTCCAAAATTCCGGGTGAGAGGTGTCAGAAGCTTATTGATGGTTATAGGAAGCGACTGATTTCAGTTATGTTTTCCAAAGGGGTGCAACCAAATATTAAGTTAAGGGTGCCAATACTTTTGTCCAGCCCATTTTTGGGGTTTTGTGTGACATTATGTCATATTTGCTTTTCTGCCTCTGTTTTATATTTGTTCCAATACATACAAAGGGAATAAACATGTGTATAGCAAAACATGTGTTAATGCAATACCTTTTTTGTGTGAAATACTTGATTTTCAGGAAAAATATCAAGGGTGCCAACAATTTCGGCCATGACTGTAAGTAAGGAGGGGCTGTAAAGGGGACTGGGGTGCAAAAAAAGGGGGATGAGAAGAGGAATTCGATGCAAGGAAAGGGGGCTGTGAAGAGGACTGGGGTGCAAGGAAGGGAGGGAGTTTGTCAGGACTGGGGTGCAAGGAAGGGGGGGCTGTGAAGGGGGCTGAGATGTAAGTAAGGGGGAATGTAAAGGGGAATGGGGTGCAAGAAAGGGAAGCTGTGAAAGGCACTTTGGTTCAAGTAAAGGGGGGCTGTGAAGGGGACTAAGATGCAAGTAAGGATGTAAAGAGGACTGGGATGCAAGGAAGGGGGTTGTAAAGGGGACTGGGGTGCAAGGAAGGGAGGAACTGTGAAGGGGACTGAGATGTCAGTAAGGAACGGCTGTAAAGGGGACTGGGGTGCAAAAAGGGGGGGCTGTGAAGAGCACTTTGGTGCAAGGAAGGGGAGCTGTGAAGTGGGACTGGGGTGCAAAGAGGGGCTGTGAACTGGACTGAGGAGCAAGGAAGGGGGGTTGTGAGGACTGGGGTGCAAGGAATAGGGGGCTGTTATGTAAGTAAGGGGGGGCTGTAAAGGGGACTGAGGTGCAAAAAAGGGGGTCTGTGAAAGGGACTTGGGTACACGTAAGGGGGGAGCTGTGAAGGGGACTGAGATGCAAGTAAAGTTGTAAAGAGGACTGGGGTGCAAGGGGGGGGGTCTTTGAAGGGGACGTGTGATATAAAGGGGTGACAGAGGAAACTGATGTGAAGGGGAGGGGGACTGTGATATGAGATGGGGGCTGAGGACACTGATGTAAAGGTGGGGGGTTGTGATGTGAAGGGGAGACAAAGGACAATTAAGTAAAGGACGCACTGTGATGTAATATGGGGGGATTTGAATGCAAAGGGGGCTGTGATGTAAAGCAGGCACTGTAATGTAAAGAAGAGGCTGTATTGTAAAGCGGGGTGCTATGATGAAAAGAAGGGGTTCAGCAATTTAAAGGTAGTACTGCTGAGATTATTGATGGCTATTCATTGTAAAATCTTAATAATAAAAATCTATTGAAAGTGAAAGGTAGTACTGTGGTATAAAGGGGGAACTGTGATGGGAAGAGGGCTGTGATGTAAAGGGGAAACTAATGTAAGAGGGTGGGGCTGTGATATGAAGAACCCGAGTCAGCACAAACATGAGACTTGGACCTCTGCTGGATGAAAGTTTTAATAACTGGACCTCCATGAATTTTAATTCAATATCCCTGCTCTAGGTGCTAATGTATTTAACATGTAAATCCAATGGGATTCTCTCTTGCTAAGATTTTTAAATTTATTGTCCCCCTCCATTATTTTTAATATTCCTGTAAACTCTAAAACTGCAAAAGGTAGGGGTCCTTGTTTTGATAACTTAAATGCTTCATGGGTTTTTGGGCAGCACAGTGGCTAAATGGTTAGAACTTCTGCCTAGCAGCACTAGGGTCATTGGTTCATTGTGCCTGCGTGGGTTTCTTCCGGGTATTCCAGTTTCCTCCCACACGCCAAAGACATGTTAATTGACTCCTGTCTGAATCGGCCCTAGTATTTATATGGATGAATGTGAGTTAGACTTTAGATTGTACACTCCTTAAGGGTTAGTGACTGATGTGAACGTACAATAGACAAACAAACGAAACCAGCGCTCCAATCCTCATGCAAACTAAAAGAAATTCAGGATGCCAGACGAAGAGGTGCTGCCCTTCAAAGATCGGGAAATCTGAACACTGGTGAAAAAGAGCAGACAAGGGCGCACTCTCATCGTGCATTACCGTGGTATACCATGTGTTTATTAAATAGACAAATGGATGTATACTCACAAACCAACGAAGATAAAAGCAGTGTATGTAGTCTGCAATAACAGTCACACAATTGCTGTGTCCTTGATAGGATAAGCTAACTCGTTTTGGGAGATATACCCCCTTCCTCAGAGTTAAAAATATACCTACTGGCCCCAAGCCTATATACCAGGGAAAGGAGAGACATGATTGAAACCTTTACATACATCAAGGGGGTGAATAAGGTTCAGGAGGACAGTATTTTCAACATGGAACCAAAATCTAGAACAAAGGGACATGACCTTAAACTAACTGGAGGAAAATTCAAAACTAGCCTCAGAAAGTATTATTTTACTCAAAGAGTAGTTGATGCTTGGAATAAACTTCAGCAGAGGTAGTGAGCCAGTCGACAGTAAATGGCTTCAAACATGCGGGGGACAAACACAGATCTATAGTCAGACAAAAAAGTTAACAAAAGAAAGCAAAAAAAAAAAAAACGATGGACCACTCTGTCTTTTTCTGTCTTTACATAAAATACTTTTTTTATCATATGTATGTGGCTCATATTTTATATTTATTTATTTGACTGCTGCTGTTTTGTACTTCCATTTAGCATTTGCTGTTTAATATTCAATTGGCGCACTAAAAAAAAGATTTGTGTTTCAATAAGTGGAAAAGACAATATCGGTATCAGTTCCAAAACCAAAGCCTAGGGTAGAATCAAATAGCGTTATAAGACCCTCTGTGTAACTAATGCCCATAACCAAACATTTTAATATACAGTATTCATGTATGTATGTATATTGTTAGTGTTTACTCTTTTTGTGCACCGTATAAAATCTGTTCTGTATGTCTGCTTTGTCTCATAGGCCCCTGCTTCTTCTTGTCCTGCCCAATCGGAATAGAAGATTTTCGTGTGTGGTTTATTGACCTGTGGAACAACTCCATTATACCATACCTTCAAGAAGGTGCCAAGGATGGAATCAAGGCAAGTGTACTGAATGCAGAAGTTTCCCATATAATTGTCTTAAGAGCCCAATGAAAGTAGGAGGCACTAAACTTTTTTTCTTTAATCTGAAGAAAGGGTGCTTCTGTAACTAATAGAGTGTTTGTTTAAAATGATGGTATATTATTATGTCACTGCATGGGATGAAATATCATTGTAATACATAATGTGGAAAATATTAAAGAATTAAAGCCAACATTTTTTAATTCCTTTTGGACAGAGTAGAGGAGAGTTAAAACCGCTGTCTTTTTTGCCATCTGTGTCTCATTGGGGAGATTTTTCTTCAATTCCTGCCCTGTAGACTCAACAGGAAGTGAGAAACTATCTTTCCAATGTAAGGGAAATACCCTCTTAGAGGGTTGTCAAAGAATTAGTTGTCCTCGTTGGATCATTTCTTCTGTATTCCTGTTCTGATGGCAACTAAAAATTTTCCCTCGCTTTCATTCCCGTCAACATCGGTGATCAGGACAATTAGACATGGTAAACCTTTTTAACAGAGGGACAAACAGCAATAAAGAACTGATAGTGTTTCCATCCTCTCCCCAGTCTATCCAAATCTAAAGAAAAAGTATAGCTTTCAGTTATATTTTAAGCTGTTTAGGGATTACAATAACTGCAGAAGACTGAGCCAGCTTTTTTGCACCATTGTAAAACAAGAAATATGGCGTTAAAGTGGTTCTAACGTTTCAAGGTTTTTTATGCACGAAGGTAAAAAAAAACCTCCTCTGTAAACCATCCGCCCCAACCCCCCTAATACTCACCAAAGCCCCCTCTCGATTCAGGGATGTGCACTAGAGTCTTCGCTACCCTGGGACTCCTTCTCTTCATTGGGTGAGACAGCAGCAGGAGCCATTGGCTTCAATCACAGCCAGTGAGCCAATGAGAAGAGAAAGGGGGACAGGGCCGCTCTGTGCGTGAATGGATACATGAAGCAGCAGGTTCCCCCATAGCAAGCTGCTATGACAGTAAATAATTCTCCTCCGTGCTTGTGAATACTTAATAATCAATATATGCTACCGATCATATATTTCAATGGACACATGTAGACCCACACAATATCTGTAACATCCACAGTGCTTTGTGATATAAATACAACATAAATTGTGCAACTTAATATAATATCAGTCGTTGTGAACTGTCCCTTTAAATCCGCAGTAACTTCGTGTAGATCAGTGTTGTCACACTACTGTATACAAGTGTACGGTGCTCCTGTATCACCCCTTAGTGCTTTTCCACCTCCAACACACTTATGTGCTCACCTCAAAGTTTGACCCATAATGACAGGTCAAACTGAACTTTTTCCCTTTTAACCCGTGTTGGTATAATGGTACACGTCTTCCCACTCTTTGCCAGCACTTTTATGTAGATCCAATCCACTCCGCATTAATGTAAAAAAACACAGTAGCCAGGCCAGAAAAGAGGAAGAGAAGAGAGGCGGAGTCTTTCAGTAACTAACGTCCCTCTTATACAGAGAGAGAAGGCCACACTATGGTGGTAAACCCCAAATTTTATGTATTTGTGTTCAAATATGTAAGAAAATCCACAAATGGTTAAGAAGACGCCAGGTTTGTGAACATTAGGTAAATGATGGAAAACCAGAGTACCTGGGGTCGAAGGTATACATTTTTTGGCTTGATCTGATTTCAAAACGTCAAGATTTAAGGCTTTTTCCATGAATATTCTAGTTGGGTTTTATATGATCAAGTAGGATCTGCTGTTAAGCCTTTATTCACTTGGGGATTGGACAATTGTCTAAGTGCTTCTTGGTGGTAATACAGTAGAGTTTAGTTTAACAACAGCACCACCTTTGTCCGCTTCTTTAATTGTAATTCTTGAATTGCTTCTGATTTAAATTTGATCTAAATAGTCTAGAGGACCCCTTTATTTGGTGTGCTAGAGAAACTTGTTCAATTAGTTTCTGAAATAAAAGGGGTTTCCCCCTCTGGATTGTATTGGATAGAAGTCTGATCGTAGGGTTGAAAAATTTGAAGATGATCTGGAACCTTAGCTTTGTCAGATATTAGGATACCGGAGAAGGCTTGGGCGTCAAGAGAACTCATATCATGTATGAGACAAAATTCCTGAAAGTTCAATTCACTCTAATTGTAATAAATAGTGTGTGAAGGTTCCTGTGTAGAATCCAAAATTTCCATGTGAAGAAAGTGTTTTTTAAGTTTCAAGTGTTATGTAAAATTATTAGCATCAATAAGTGTAGAAAATAAAAAAGTCCTGTGAAGCTACAAAATTAAACCCTTAGAGCAGCAGTCACTAAATGGTGGACCGCGGTCTGAGAACGGCCCGAATAGCGCTCCCTTCTGGACCGCCAGCCCGCAATGACAGATCCGCCGCTGAGCAGGGTGTTTGTAACAGCAACCGATTACATCATATGTGTGCCCCGCCCTTTGCAGCTCACTGTCTCTCTGGCTCCCACTCCCTGCCTGTACACAAGTATCCTTCAGCAAAGTTCCCGGCACAGCTCCTGTGTGCCCTCAAAGTCGGGTGTAGTCTTACAGGGGCACTCTGATGAGCACATTTAATGTTAAAGGATCATGCTGATGATGACAACATAGAATGTGCCCATCAGAGTGCCCCTTAACATAAAATGTGCCCATCAGCATGCCCCTTATTTTATGTTAAGGGGCACTCTGACGGATACATTTTATGTTAAGAGCACTCTGATGGGCACATTTTATGTTAAGGGGAACTCTGATGGGCATCTTATGTTAAGGGGGCACTTGGATGGGCACATTATGTTAAGGGGGCACAACGGGCACATACTGTGGAAAGGGGCACTCTGATGGGCACATGTGATGGAAAGGGGCAGTCTGATTTGCACATGTGATGGAAAGGTGCAGTCTGATTGGCACATGTGATGGAAAGGTGCAGTCTGATTGGCACATGTGGTGGAAAGGAGCACTCTGATGGGGAATATGAAGTAAAGGGGCACTCTGATGGGGAAATATGATGGAAAGGGGTACTTTGAATGTAAGGGGGCAGTCTGATGGGAATACTTGATGTAAGGGGACACTGTGGTGGGGATATCTGATGTAAAGGGGCACTCTGATGGGCACACCTGATGTGATGGGAATACGTGATGTAAAGTTGTACTCTGATGGCGACACCGAATGTAAAGGGGCAACCTATTCGGACCTTGGTCAGAAGAAAATTTTGGTGACCGGACCTCATTGAATTTTAATTCAATACCCCTGCCTTAGCGAGAACAATTTGTTCTTCAACTGACAAAATGTTTTCAGAGTAATTCAAAACAGTATTGGAGAAAGAGTGAGACCATTTTCTAGAGTTCTGACGTTTTTGTTTTCTTCCTATTTTTTTTATTATTATTTATTACAGGTACTTATATAGCGCCATCAATTTATGCAGCGCTTTACATATATATTGTACATTCACATCACTCCCTGATTCTTGAGGGGCGTACAATCTAAGGTATTCTTTTCTTTTTAAAGAACGTCTGTAACCCCCCCCCCCCCCTTGCCCTTGGGGGGATGATACTTTTTTGGCTGTGGAGAGACACTGTCTTCTGAAAAGGTATCCTTCAATTTTATTTTTCTATCTTTTAAGCCAGGTATAGATGTAGAAGAGTAGGCGGCTGTAGTCTTTCCCTCTGTATCCGAGAAGGTAACCAGTGTTGACTGGTGTGGAGGAGGTCCAGAGAATAGAGTGTTTGAATTTGCCTGAGTAGCTTTATCTGTTATTTGAGCCTAGAGTGATCCACCTGTATACCATTCCTTCCTCGCAGTCTAATTTGTCTCTGAGAAATTTTTACTTTTTTGTTTTCATAATATCTTCTAAGATATTCAGAGACTTTGTCATTTTCATTTCTCTCGCTTGGAAATTAGACTGACTGCGGATCCCATCCAGGTTCCGTTGACTCTGATTTCATTAGTCACAATTTTAAGACGCTCCTTTTTGTATTCAACAATAAGCTTCTGAGCAGCACTGCAAGTCTCTCCACATTTCAAAAAGAGTTTAGTTTGATGTATAATTTAAAGAGAACATGTGAGGATAGCTATATGGGAGATGCCAACGTGTCTTTAAAATATGCAGGGTCTGTGAAGTCATCTTGTTCCAGGCTTCGCTATGTATCACTGGCACGGAAAGCTAGCCTGAAACATAACTCTTTGTAATAGTTAGTAACTCACTAGGTAGGATGAGGATGAAAGCTCTGAAGTCTGTACTTTTAAAAACAGCAATGTCAGCTTTAAATTTATTGTCTTATTAGGTACCGTTTGAGTGCAAAGGCTGAATAAAATAATATTGAAGTATTGGTTTGGATGGTGGTGTGTAGAATTACCAAGAGCTAAAACAGTTCTTACTTCAAATATAAATGGTGAATGCTTGTGAGCTATTATGAAATGAGGTTTCAATATGTGACTTTAGATGTCCTTATTTCTCACGTGAGGTTCGCTGGCACTTGCACTGACTCATATGCTAGTGTATATATAATATTTTCAAAATAGATAGTGCCGCGCTCCCATGTACCAATATGTATATCTTATACTTTCAAAGTGCTAATGAATAGCTTTCAAGATACTACATGTATCAAACAATTATTACTAGTGACTCAAAACATCATTGTGAATATTAATCTTCATGCAAGTGACATTAATAACTGATAATCCTAAGGTGATAGTGCCTATTAAAGTACAGTGATATACAAATTCAGAAATACTCCTCTATTCTACTGTGATCCTTATATTTATATTGTGCAAACACATATATATTATGTGCACGTGCTTATGATATATTCAATAAAAAAAAAAAAAAAAAAAAAAAAAAAAGTCTTTCAAAATAAATGTGCAGGTGGATTCTTGGTTCCCTCTCGCCGAGTGCTTAATGGTCTCCCTATGTGCTCACCTCTATATTTGCCTGAATAAATCCAGGCAAATACACTTTTTATCCTTCCAGGATAGATGGGATGGAATGATGCTCTTGAATTATCTCAGAAGGTGGATGTGGATTTA